CATCTATAATAGTAGCCCCTTGGGATTGTCAGAGTCAGGCGCTACTCATTGTCTTTGAACTTTTTTGCAACTCTTGGTAAATTGTAGGTAACTTAGGGACATGTAAATTATGTCCTTCAGGTTCAGATATAATTGATCACCCCACCAACAGCTGGAAAATCACTTTACCTCCTTTTTCAATTCATCTCAACATTCCCTTAATCCATACAAATCTGTGCTGCTTTGATTTTTCCTTTGAATTGGTTATAACATGTCAAATTTCTTCACTGAATGAGTAAACTAAAAATTTTAACATTTGTTCACTTTTATATTTGTATGAGAGTCATGATTTTGGCTTTATCTGAAAGTTATCTTTTAACAGATTGAATAAATGATGTTTTAAAAGTATTACCTTCAAAAATGATTCATAGCTAATTTTTCACTAATATATCTTTTCAGATTGTTTGAATTTTTGTACCATATATGCCTATTTACTGTTCAAATGATAGCATTGTAGAACTAAAAAAATCTTATAACTGCCCATATATATTGTCATCCCTTAGTATCCATAAAGAATTGGATCCAGAACTTTGCAGTTATCAGACCCAGGTATGCTAGAGTCCCTGATGTAAAATGGTGTAGTATTTGCATATAACCTACCCATATCCTCAGTATACTTTAAATCATCTTTATATTACTTATAATACCTAATACTATGTAAATACTCTGTTAATAGGTATTATACTGTATTGTTTAAAAAATAGCGACAAGAAAAAAAGTCTGTAGATGTTCAATTCAGACGTGTTCATTTTTGATTTTTTTTTTTTTTTTTTAGAGATAGTGTCACTTTTTTGCCCAGGCTGGAGTGTGCAGTGGCGTGATCATAGCTCACTGCAGTCCTGAACTCCTGGCCTCAAGTGATCCTCCCCCACTCAGCCTCGAGTAACTGGGATTACAGACTGAAGCCACAAAGCCCAGCTCTTCAAATATTTTTGACCCTCAGTTGGTAGAATCCATGAATACCGAACCCATGGATAGGGAGGGGTGATTGTATACACTTTTCCCCTGCTAAAGCATTCATTTGATCTAGTGGACCTAGTAAGTAGTCTGTAGTTTCAAAATGATAATTGGGCAAATCTGACCTTTCTTTTTTTTGGCTACTAGGCTAAACAACGTGGATACTCTTTTATTTCTAGCAATCCAAAGAGAGAAAAACTAGTTGCTGGCACTGTTTGACCTCTAGCCGAGATAACTTAATCCTCTGTGCTGCAACCAACAACCCTAAGTGGTGAGAAAGAGAGAATAAACATATAATGCCTATTATATAGCAGGGGCTTTCCACATAACTTCTCCCCTTAACTTTTATTGCAATCCTTAAAGTCAATATTATTTCTATTTTACAGGTGAGGAGAAAGAGGCTTTGGAATAACTTGCTTATGAAGTGGTCCTTTGTAAGGGAAATTCATTTGTATAGGCAATAGGCTTCTTAGACCAAACTAAAATGATTGCCGGCTGTCTTCAGCCGCCTTCTGGGAAGGCATGAGTTAGTAAGGTTATGTAACCAAGGTGTTATCTCCCATGTGAATTCATGTGGTCATGCTTTCCAATGGCATGTTGCCACTATTGTTCTGAGCCACATATAAGTGCCTGCCATGTTCTTGGCCATGATCTCCCGTGGCTGCATCCTCCGCCCCACAATAAAGAACATGTCTCACCTACCCGCTGCCACAAATCTATTCTTTGAATTCCCAGAAGCCTGCTCTGGTGCACTCGCTAGCCACAGAGCCCACTCCCCACTCCCTTGGAGTTGACCAAGTCTAGGGCCTTTATGTGATCCTCTCCATTATGCATCTAGCTCTAGCATCTAGTCGAAAATGACTTACACTTCCTAAGGCACCAGGTGATTCCTTATTAAATCAAATTAGACCATTTTGTTCAAAATAAATCCCTGCCGGTTGGGTGGATGGGCGAACAGTGGGAACTGTCAATTCCATTACTCAGTTGGTCTTTATAGAGCCCTTCATCCTAAAGTGGGAGTGGCCAGCTGCTTGCTGTCTTTATGATCAACGAGGCTAGTGAAGTGGAGTGGGGGGTGTAATTTGGTAGGGGGAGGTTGATGAACTGAGGTCTATGTTTTAAACTCACATTTGTTACTTCCCTTTTTCAAAAATCATTAATACCTGGTAACAGTGCAATGAAGTCGAGGTACTACTGACCGTGAAGGCAGTGCGTGCGTGACTGCTATTGCCACCATTACATTCTAGTATAGAAACATGTGCAAAAGTCGCCTTAGCCTCGTTCTCAATGGCAGCCACCAGACGCTAATGGCGATCTTAGCTTGGGGAGCAGCTAAGTAGTTTCTCAGAACGCTTTAGTAGCAGCCACCCCTGACCCAAGCGTCCCATCCCAGCCAGGAAGCCCAGAGTCCTCCAATGAAGAAGCTGGAGCCTCAGCGTCCAAAACCAGCCCCGGCTGTCCCCCCACCTTGAACAGCTCCCTGTCCTCCTCTCCTTTTTGAACACCGTCGTGACCCTGCCCTGTCATAGTTGACCCTGAATCTGATCCCATCATTGTTCGGGAACCCAACCCCACGCCCCCGGCACTTGCTGTCACCAGCACAGTGGCCCCATCAGCTGTCATTGCCATCTCTGCTGCCTCCCGAGAGTCAATATTCTAGGAGGTGGAAAAGGAACCCGTCAAATCAAGCTTTGGCAGAACATCACATTAGGTAATTTTGATGTCCTTCAAAAAAGACCCCATACTTAGATGTGCATTTGCAATACTTTGGTACCATCTGGCCCTCTTGCCTTCGTGCCAGGAAGATGTGTCAGTACTAGTGAAGTAACAGTAGTACTTGCGGATAAGGTATAAGTGCTCTGCAAACCAGGTTATAGGATTGACTTAGTATTGGGGTAGCGGGGACCACCAGGCCAGAACTAGACCATTTTAAGAAAATATGAATTCTGATTTCAAAGATGAAATGACAGAAGACTTGCCTATGGGCAACCAGAGGGTGAAAACTTTTCCAATAAAAGCATACTGAAGGTGACAGGAAAGATGGAGAAAAGGAGCTAATTGATTACAAGTCTTCAAACTCTCACAAATACATGGTTTGGAAACATATTTGGCAGCAAGGATAATGTTCAAAGTCAGTTTGCATAGAGATGTACAGGAATTGTGGGTTCCAGAAGAATCAGAGAGCAGGATTTGACAGAGTTAGACAGAAATCCTCATACTGTGTTAACAAATGAAGAAGAGGATGAAATCTCTTCAGAAAAGCAGAGAAAAGAGGTATGTAAATGTGTTACTTAAAAAAACTGACTGTTGTTCAGAACAACCTCAAATTGAGGTTACAAATAAAAACCATGGTGAAGGATCAATGGATGATAACAATTTATGTATTTTTCTCATTCTAATTAAGGGCTTGGATAAATGCACAAAAAAACCACGTAAATTCAGTGAGAAGAAGGCAAATAAAAGCAAAAAAAAAGTCTGAATCAGCTGTACACTACATCTGCCAAACATCAAAGCACCTGCAGATATTTACAAAGATTTTGTTGATGTGATGAGTGGTGAATAAGCCCCCTTCCCCAATTGATTTTGAAGCCACCCAAAGGAAAGATTAGTAACACCACTGCAAGCATTACTGCCAGCAGTAATGAATAAGAAAGAGGTCTGGGGAGCAGTAGCTATGAAGAAGCCACTTGCAGTACCAATAAGGATACTGGGAAGGGGGAAACAAAGGAAGATGTACTTTCATCTGAATCATCTGAGATGACGAAGAAGTGCCATGTCAAGCCACTGCTTTTTCCATGCAACCAGAGAGCAAAGAGAAGGATCAGGAAAAAAAAAAAAAGCTTAATAAAGGAGTTCAAACCTCAAAGGCGCCAGGGTGCAGCAGAAAAATCCAGGTCCAGTTCTGAAAATGAGTTTGCCCTGTTTGGCAAATTCACAGAATAGATATATTCAGAAATGTAGTTTGTGATAAAAATAATCTTGTTAATTTACAACAGTCTATTTTTCTTATAAGTATTAATTTGGGGAAAAATAATGAGAAACAAATGTTGACTAGTTATAGCCAGAATATTTTATTAATTCCAAGGTATTATGTAACTTGGTCTTTGCCTTATGATACAGAAGTAACATTTACAATTATTTTTTCAAAGAGTATTGTTTGCATATGTTGCTTCTGCAATTCAACCTAAATATATAGTTTTGTAAAAGATCATTACAAAAATGTAAACTGTCATTTGATTTACAATTATACTCAATGAACTGTTTTTGTAGCTTACAGGTATTTTTGTACCCCAATTGTTGAATGGATACTTAAAAACCTATTTTCTCCTGGATAGTTGTTAATAACATAGAAGACAAAAATCTATGCTTACTCTGATAAAGTTTATTTACAAAAAAAGATGTTAAAGAGAATTTTGAAATGAGAAAACCAAATGCTGAAATATTTGTTGTTGCTACTAGTTTGTTTCTGCCTTTGTTTTTTTATAGCAAAACACCACCGATGTCTCTTGCTTTCCCAAAACCCACAATATAAAGTCTAAACACTTAAGTAGTACATAAAAGGCTTTTTGCCTACCATTCTGGCAACCACTCTTGGTCCTGAATGTAGTTAAGACACACTGAACTTCATACCGTTCCCCCAAACATTTCACTCACTTAGTTCACACTGTTGCCCCTATAATGTCTCTTCTCCAGTTTATCTGCCCAGAAAATTTCTATTTATTCTTCAAAACTAGCTCAAAAGTTATTTTCTTTTAAATGCTTTTCATGTCTTTGCCAGAAAAATGTCTCCCCATTTCCATGGCAACTTCTCATATCTATTCCATCATATTTACATTACAAATATCTGTCTCCCACTAATATCTACCAGCTTTTAATCCGTAACACCTAAGATGGACCTTGACACATCAATTAGCATTTCCTCAATGAAAGTTTGATGAGTAAAAAGAATGGAAAACAAAGCTTTATCATGAAAAGGCTTGCGGTTAATAAAATACAGGAGCAATTCAAGGGCTTTCAGTATCCAAACTAAAAGTAGTTGCTTGGAATTATTTGTCAGTTTTGGAACTGGATGACAAAGGAACAAGGCTGAAAAGTTCAGGGCCAGAAAGAGAAAAGTGAGGCTCTAAAGGATAAAATAGGTCACTTAACAAAGAGATGTAGATGATGAATGGTAGAGAGGGACACTTAAATCTCCAGGCTTTGAATGGTAAATCCAATTCTCTTTATGTATACACACCTTCACATGGCACTCAAGGTTGTCCATGGCCTGGCTCCATTCTGCATTTTATGCTTTATATTCCACCATTTGCTTTCATGTGTGAGCATACTCTCCATAAACAGAATTCCTCTCTCACAAAACACACCCTTTTCTCCTTAGCTTCCATGCCATTGTTCCTGGGATTTCCTGTCTGCTCAAAATGCAGAACCACTGCCACTGTCCCCATGCAATTTTCAATGATTCCCCACCTGGATTTAAGCTCTGCCTCTCTGTCCCTATGTCTCATTTTAACACCATTGTTGTAACAGTAGCTAAAGACAGCTTGGCCCCAACCAGGTAGGGTAGTCTTAGGGATTAATGAAGGTCAGTCAGTGGATGGGTAGGCGCAGTAAGGAGGGCAGTGTTCTAGAAAGGGAGCAGTAGTAGTTCAAAGGTCGAAGAGGGAGGTCATCACCTCTGGCTGGCTCATGCACTGTAGGATGCTCTCCCTCCGAGCGGAGGCTAAAGAACGAGTCTCCTCCTGAAACCGGCGGTGTCCCTCCTCAGTGAGCCTCCAGAGGCAAGAGCGAGGTTTTGCATTGGCCCCATCCTGAGGGCTTACTGGCGTCTTCTCAAAGCTGCCCAGGAAGCAGAGGTTGTGGCGAATAGTGTTCTTCCAGCCATCTGGAGCGGTACAGAAAAAAGGGAAATGCTGTCGGGTGAAATTGTAGATCTCTTGCACATTGAGGCCACAGGGAGGGCTGTTTTTTAATGCTAGGGCAATTAGGTGGCTGTAATTGAGAGGAGGCCGTGGCCAGGACCTCCTCTCCTGGCTGTTGATTGGCCACAGCTTCTGGCTCCGGAAGCACTCCCTTTTGTTAGGAGGCTGGAGGGCCACAGAATTGTCCTCTTGTTCCTCAGTCTCCTCTTCTGTGTCCCAGTCACTAGGGGAAGAGATGAACCGCTTCCGTAAAGGAGACTGCTCACTTGAGGAAGATGGCAGGGACTCCACCACTGTGGCCTCTGAACAGTTTGACTCTTCATCCTTTAGAGGGAGCTGAGGGGAAGGAGGCATGCTTGTCAGATCCTTTTTTTTACTGGGCTTTGGGGCCTCCTGGCTGCCGAGGGGGCACACAATGTTGGGGTTCACCCACATCCACAGGTTGGGTTCACAGTGAGGACCATCTTTGTCAAGACCAGGTCTCTTCTCCTGAGGCACCTCTGGGGGCTCCATTATTCGGAGTCTGTATTTGGCAAGGTGCTGCTCAGCAGAGGGTTGCTGGTCTGTGGTACAAGGCAGAAATAACTCATTCCCCATGTCCCAGTCCAGAAGCCCTGGGACCTGGCCATGAAGACTGTACCAGAATTCACGATCTTTAAGTTTTAGGTCCATCTTAGTGGGGAGATAGGTGGAGGGAGACTTCCAAAAGAACAGAAGTCTCTTGGGCACTTAAAGTTTTTGCTGTAGCACTGTTTTTGATGTAGTAAATCTCATCCAGGGGACTCAGTAGGCTTGCTAGAAGTACTGGAAAAAGAGGCACTGATGCCCTGATTAGTGGTCAGACTTGGAAAAACTTTAGACTTCTGGAACAGAGCTCAGAACAGGGAAGTAACTAAAAGGAGCTTTTTAGCAGGAAAAAAAGTTCAGGGTGGAATTCCTGAGCTTTCATTAGAAGCAGGAAGTCTCCACAAAAGACTTACAAACTTTGAACTACATGCAAACTAAGGTGACTTGCATAACAGGTCTGGCATATCTTTCAACTCTTGTTGGATTCCTTTAACAAAGAGACAAACGTGTGCAAGATCACACGAGAGCCTTATATTTCTGAGTCTTCCTTAAATGGTTTAAAATCATTTCATTTTTAAAGTTCCTTTGGTCTTTTGTCAGGTGCTTTCACTTTGATGATCTCAACTGATTTCATGACAGCCCTGCAAAATAATATAGTGGGTATCATTAACCCCATGCCACAGATATGGGAAGTGAGATCTACAGAATACTTAAGACTACACACTCAAGTATTATAGAAGAGCTATATTCACAGCCCAGGTCCTCTCATCCTTTCACGCTGCCTATTGTCTCTTGATCACATTCAGTGCACTATATAAAGCAGGCAGCAATAATATGTGCAACCTGAGTTTTAGAGTAAGATGGTAACTATTAGAAGATGGCCTCTATTAGTCTCAAACCCATGCTAGAACCCAACCTTGCTGTTATTTTCAATCCCTTTTTGGAAAATAGCTGGCTTCCCTCTGGAGAAGGTCACCTTCTCAAGAAATGAGTTCTGAACTATACTCTGAACAATAGGACTAAAGTTTAGCCATGCCATGTGAGATCCTGAAATCCTCAGAGCTCGTATTTCCAGTAAGTTCTTTCCAAGGACACCTGTAAGAGAAGCAAAATAGGAAGGTTTCATTTAATCCAGTCTGTACGAAATCCATCTATAATGTATGTGATTTCATTAAAATCACTGTATAGGACTGTATCATAAACATATCTAGCAAATACCAGTGAGAACTATTGGAGGGGCACAATAATCTCCCTATGTTTTCTCCATTCTCTGGTCCTATTCTACTCAAAATCATCCTCTATGCAGGATTCCAGAGTGATCTTTCTACTGCATAAATATAAAAATTAATAACAATGATATCAACTGATAATACTCATTGAATGCTCTAAGCATTCTATATGATTTAACTCATCAGTCCTCAAAATAACTCTATGAAGTAGGTACTCTTATTATTCTCCCTTTACAGAGCAAAAAAACATAAGGTACAAAGAAGTCTAAGTCACACACCTAGTAAAAGGCATAGCTGACTTTCAAACCCACACAGCCTAGCTGCAGAGCATGTGCTTTTACCCACTATACTCTCTGTTTTGGTACTACAATATAAAACCCTATCACTTAATGCAACGTAAAAGGCCCTAAAGGATCCCACCCCTGCTTACCTTTACAGGCTAATTTATCACCCCAGCTTCTTTGCTTCATACTTCATGTCCCGGAGATATTGAAATGGCAGGATCTTCACCACATAACCCTCCTATCTTTTAATCATGTCCCTTTGCTCAAGAACCTCTGCTTAGAATGGCCAACTACCAATTTCCTTTGCTTGGCTAACCTCCATTCATCTTTTAAGACTACAGAAAGTCTTCTCTAATAAAATGCTGCTTCTACCTCCCTACAGGGAATTAATAGATTTCCTTCACAATGAGGCAATGACCTGGGCAAGGTAGGGGACTTAACCTGAAATATTAGCTTATCATGCCAACCTCAGAGAGCCTGGCAGCATATTAGCTCTCAGTGGTCCCTTACCCCTTAAATGAGAGCTCAAGTGTTATAGAATTTCTCTTCCATCTTCATCTGGGAACATAGTCCAACCCTCAAATATTGACTAGTAAAACTAGGTCATCACTGTGTATTCTTTCAGCCTCATTTAAAATATCCAATATTTATGTATTGAACATCTACCATATTTAAACCAGTGTGTAACAGGCCTGACAGATAGTAAGACACAATACAAGAGGATATCACAGTCTAACAGGGGAAGACATGCAAGTAAAAAGAAAATTAAAATACAATGTGATAAGTACCAGACACTACGTTAGAAGGAAAAAAAAGAGGGACAAATTAATCCAAATGATAGGAATCAGAAGGGATCCCCATAGAAGGCGCTGCTTGAGCTTAAAAGACATGTTACCCAGAAGCAGAGATATGGAGAACAGGCTAGCACATGCTAACTAGATATCTGGTACTTTGTTTCTTAATTCTGCTACAGAAAAGGAGGCAGGAGCATTTTGCACATGCTCTGGAAAAATACTTAAATTATTATTTGTGGGTATCTTGTTTCCCAGGCCCTCATACATCCCAAGTGCTAATATAGGCAAAAATGTGTGTTTGATGAAACCACATGTTATAAGCAAAGTAGGATACAACAATAACATAAGTCAAGTTGGAAAAGTGGTGGGAATTCATAATGATCCTGTATCCAAGAAATAGCAAACATACATTCTTTTCAAGAATTTCCAAAGAATTACCATATACTAGGTTACAAATGAAATCTCAAAAATTTCAAATAATACATAACATACATTTTCTCTGATCATAATGTAATTAACTATAAAATGTAATAAAAATAAAACAAAAAATTGCTTAGAAACTTCAAAAATTGTTCCTTAAAATCTCATTGGTTTCGGAAAGAGGATCAAGATGGCAGACGAGTAACACCGCCAGACAGAGTGTCTCTGCAGAAAAGACAGATTCTAGCAGAAATTAGAAAAAAGCAAGAAGGCGAGCATACAGCGGACAAGGGCCAGAAGGAGGGGTACCAGAGACCCGGGGAGACTCCACGGGAGGAGGCTGCAGAGGAGAACTGGAAGCTGAGACCGCAGGAGCAGCCCGGAGACCAGCGGGAAGGACACCACCTAACGGCTCAGAAACTAAACAAGGCGTGTGAATACCGAAACAAAAACCTAAAGGAAAGAAACAAACACATGATCAATGAAACATGGAAAATAAATTACAACGGGAAACAGGAAAGTAGGGTAAACAAAGAGAAAAACAACACCCCCGACATAGAGAGCACCCAGCCCCCTACTAGAATGGACAAACACAACCAAATGCAAGGCAACCATAATAATAGACGAGGAAAGAAAAGAGACGAATCATATGATAGAGAGAGCAGCTCTATAAGAACACTCACAGACCTTGCAACAACAACTCATAACCAAGCACACAAACGAAACACAACAATAAGCATCCTAGGAACTATGATAGATTTTGGAGAATATTCTACTAAGAACAATACATCACAAGTAAGAAAAAATAAGAGTGTCTTAACGAAACTTCGCTGGAAGGTGAAGAATCATGATTCAGAGGAACCTACAAAAAAATACGAGTAAAAAGTCAGACAGTGAGCGAGGTAAAATTCAAAGACAAGTTAATCTGAGATAAAAGAAGATTACTACAACATAGGCTCTGACAACTATGAATATGAAAGCTCATCGAACAAAAGATAGAGCAGGAAGAAAATAAAGGAGAAGGAGGAAAGCATACACATAAGAGAGATGGATAAGTATATGATGAGGATGAAAATAAAAGAAATCGACTATAAGAATGAAGATAGACAGAGGCAAGTATAACAAATTGCGAGAGTTAGGCTCCAAGAGGAAGGGAAGAGAAGCCGAACATTCAACATGAGGGTGGTGGACAATGTCTATAGAAAGAGTATACAAGTAGTGTATGATGGAGGCACAAAATACTGTTCCTCTAAGGCAATGCTGAAATATCTTCAATAATAAAAAGATTCCAACAGATCATAAGTAAGTCTCAATTAGTACCACCCTGGTGATAATCTCTATTATAAATAATCAAACCGCCGGAGACGTCAACGTTCGTTACTTCAACAACCAGTATTTATTATTATCTTTATTATTTCAGCGTCATCAGACGACCAAAATAACATCACTAAAGAGGCCCTTCTAGAGCTGTGAAGAGAAAAAAAAAGCAAGTGACATACAAGGAAGCCAATTCGAATAACATCCAGACTTCTCTAATGAGACTTTAGAAGCAAGAGAAGACTGGGGCCCCGATTCTCACTCTTCTGAACACAAAACAATGCCAGGCCTAGAATCTTATTCCCTGCAAAACTTAAGCTTCATATATGAAGAGACAAATAGACATTCTCATGAAGAAGGAAGTCCAGAGAATTCACCAAAAAGACGCAGGTGCTACAAGAAGTATCTCAAAACGGGCGGGGTGTTACAACACGGAACACCATAATAAAACTCACGAAGAATATAAAAACACCAAAACCCAATAGATTAAAGGACAGTAATACAATGGCTAACAAGAGAGAATGAAAGCAACAACATCAACCAACAGAATAGACATAATCTACCTTACTTCAGTTCTCTCAATAAATTGTGAATGGCTTAACTCTCCACTCAAGGACATAAGCTGGCTGAATGGATAAGAAACAAAACAGGCCAAGTATATGCTGCTTCAGGAAACACATCTAACCTGAGGATGCATAAGACTAAAAGTAAAGGGTAGGATCAGTATCCAGGCAAGTGGAAGCCAAAAGAAGGCTGGCGTGCAATGTTTAATTTCAGACGATTTTTAAAAAGTTTTTAAACCAACAAAAGTAGTGAAAGGCAAAGAGGGTCATTAATTAATGGTGAAGGCACACTTTCCAAAGAAGAGTAACAATTTTAAAATATATATGCACACCAACTTCAAGGTTGCACCAGTTTCATAAAGCAAACCTTACTGAATCTAAGCAAATGATTATAGCAACTCCATAATCACCACGAGATGTCAACACCCCACTGAGCACAAGAACAATCTTCCAAACAGAAATTAATAAAGAAATAATGGACTTAAACAAAAAGCCCTGGAACAACCGGGTCTGACTGACATCTACAGGACATCTACCCCAAATCACTGAATAATACGTTCTTCTCCATCAGCTCACGGGACATTCTCTAAGATTACATATCCTAGGACACAAAGGTAAAATCTCAAGAAATAAAAAAATAAAATCATACATGTACCGTTCTCAGATCACAGTGTATTAAAAGTAAGAAAGTCAACACCTAACAGAATCTCACATTTCTACACACAAAAACGTGAAATTAAACAACCTCCTACTAAATGAATCACTTCATAAATGAAAAAATCAAGATGGAATATAAAAAATTCTATACTCCTACACTGCTGGTGGGACTTCAAATTAGTTCAACCTCTGTGTGAAAGCAAATATGGACGTATACCGTTAAGCGATACAATGAATCTTTCCATTTGATCCAGCAATTCCATGCTGGCATCTACCAAAAGATCCAATGAACACAAGTATCACAAAAGAGACACACTGCACTCAATGTTTATAGCAGCACAATTAATAATTGCAAGGCTGTGGAAACAGCCCAAGTGCCCATCAATCCAAGAATGGATTAATAAAATGTGGTATATGTATACCATGGAGTACTATTCAGCCCTGAGAAACAATGGTGATATAGCACATCTTATATTTTCCTGGTTAGAGCTGGACCCATACTATAAGTGAATTTCCCAAAAATGGAAAAACAAGCACCACATATACTACACCAGCAAATTGTATTAACTGACAGCACCTAAGTGTCACGATAGGTACTGCAGTAATAGGGTATTGGGCAGGGGGGAGGAGGGAGGTGGGCGGGTATATACATATATAATGAGTGAGATGTGCACCATCTAGGGGATGGTCATGTTGGAGGCTCAGACTTGTGGGGGGATGGGGGAAATGGGCATTTATTTAAACCTTAAAATCTGTACCCCCATAATATGCCGAAAAAAAAACTCATTGGTTTCAAGAAGAGTTCAGAAGGAAAATTACAACATATTCGAACTTGAATAATGAGCACATTATATTCTGTAACTCCTGAGATGCAAATAAATGACATTTAGAAGGGAACTTACAGCTGTAAATGAACAATTTTATTGAAAAGTGAAACACATTGAATACAAATGATGTCTTCTTCCAAAAATATAAAAATTCCCAACAAAATGAATACACTTCATTATAAAACATAAAAGATAGCCTTAATCAATGAAGAGATATACCATGTTTATATATTGGAAGGCTCAGTATCATGAATATATCAATATTCTGCATTTCACTCTCAAAATTGAATATCATTCCAGTCAAAATCCCAGAAGCAGACCTGGTACAGTGGCTCACAGTGGCTCACGCCTGTAATTCTAGCACTTTGGGAGGTAGAGGTGGGAGGATCGCCTGAGGCCAGGAGTTTGAGGTTGCAGTGAACTAGAATGATGTCACTGCACTCTAACCAGGGTAAGTGAGTGAGACACTGCCTTACAAAAATCCCCAAATTCCAAAAGTAATGTTTAAAAAACTTTTCAAATTGATCCTCAATATTATGGGAAAGAGCAAAAATCCTAGAATACATAAGACATATTAAAGAAAAGACAGCGAGAGGATTTGTCCTACCAGATTCCAAGACTTATTATAAAGCTATAGTAAATTAAGACATTTTATTAATAAAAAGACAAAAATCCCAATGAGACAATAAAGTCCATAAAAAATTCCCATCATCAATACTCTCTATTCCTCTTTTTTTTTCTCCTTAGCAGTTATCATTCTCTAAAATGATACATAATTCTATTACTTATTTTATTATCTGTCTCTGCTCACTAGACTATAAGGTCAGTGAAGACTGAAATCATTGTCTGTATTTGTTTGTTTCCAATGAAGTATTTCCAGTGCCTAGAAGAATTTCTGGCTCAATAAATATTGGTTGAATGAATAAATAAAGACCTAAATGTGAAAATTAAAACTGTAATTTTTATAATACAGGAGAATAAATATAATTATCCTTGGAGTAGGGAAAAATTTCTTGGAAAGACACAAAAAATTTGATTACATAAAAAATTAAAATTCAAACACACACAAGCCATTATTAACAAAGGGTAAAAACAAGATACTACAGACTGCAGGAAGATTTATGAGACACATAAAACAGGAACACACAAGGAAGTCAAATATATCAACAAGAAGAAACAACAAAGTAGAATAGGCAAAATATATGAAAAGGCCCCTTCACAGAAAAAAAAAACCTGAATGGTCAATAAAAACACAAGAGATGTTCACTCTTAGTAGTAATCACAGAAATGCAAATTAAAACAAAGGTAAGGTGATGTTACACACTATCAGGTTAAAATAGCTGGTAAATTTAAAGATTCTTAAAACTTACAACCTGGGAATTCTACTTTTAGGTATATATTCCAGAGAAATTCTTGCATATGTGCACACTGAGAAATATATCAGAGAAACAGCACTGTTTGAAATGGTAAAACAAAAAATAGGTAACAGCCTAATGTCCATAGCAAGGAAAAGGATATATAAATTAGGGCATAATTGTTATAATGCACTACCATAATACTAGCATGTGAACCAAAGCCTCACATTTCAACATTGATTAATTTCAAAAATATAATTTTAAGGCTGGAAAACAATGCTATTATGATTATTTTAAGATACATAGGAAAAGTTGAAAACCATAAAAGAGAGTAGAATTAGGGAGGAATACATTGGGAGTTTTAACTGAGGCTATAATGTGGGAAAAATAAATTGATTATGAATACCAATTCACATCCACCTATTTGGCAAATATTTCAAAACAAACAAACAATAACATCAAGCTTTGACAAGAACGGGGATGGGGGGGGAGGTTAGTACTCTCATACATTACTTGTGGGAATGTAAATTGGTGTAGCCATTTTAAAGACCAATTTTTCAGTGTTTATTAAATGTTACAATCCCAGTACCTTAAGATTCAGCAATTTTTACTTCTGTGTATGCATCCTAGGAAGCACTTGTAACTATGCTTTATGAAATATGAAACAGGATGCTCCCCACAATACTGCTTGAAGTGCTGAGAAAGAGTTAAATATCTATAATATGGAAAGAAGTGAATTAAAAACACGGTAAAAAACATGCTAAGGAACAGTATGAGCTTTTAAGAAAAAGTAATCCCTTGTATGAAGACTTAGTACAATCCAGGAGAATTGGTAAAAAAAAAAAAAAAAAAAAAAAAAAAAAAAAAAAACTTAAGTTGCAGAAGGTTATTGTAAGTTAACACAGCTTTTCGTATCAAGGAGAAGATTCAGGTACAGGTAGGGATGACCAAAAGCCTACCTGTAGTGAGGACAAGGAACCTGATCTGGCAGAGCGGACCCAAAGACTGCGTTTAGACAAGAGACATAACCAATTATGGCGGCACTAACGTGAAAACCCGCTAATACAAAAGAGAAACACACTTCCGAGACACAGTTTTCCACAGGCCTTCCCGTGTAATGATGAATCCCACGTGAGTGAATTGACCCATGGAAAAGAAAGACATTGTGATATGGGTGGGGCTAAATGGAAGCCCGCCAATAGAAATGAGATAGAAGCTAGAGTGGGCGGGTTACCCATAAGTCCGCCTGTATGATGAAGAGGACCCTTATATGGGGAAGGCTGTCCAGTAGACTGCCTATAAAAGGAGACTGCTGTGGGCAGGCCTAACGAGAGGTCTCCCAGTTGAATAATAAGACCTTGGTGTTAACAAGGCTTAGCATAGGATTTTGGGTGTGATATGGAAGGTACTGGCATGTACTGAGATGAATAGAGAACTGCTTGCAGAGGATCCTGGTATAGGCAGAGATGTGCCAATAAAAATGAGTAGAGCTTTTATATGAATGGAACTTCCCAGAGGCCTGCTTATACAGAAGAGAAGGACCCTGGTTTGGGAGGGAATGAATAAAAGTCTTCCAATAAAGCATAGAAAGACCTTGGGGGACTGTGTTGCGAGGGTGGTTAACTAGAGGTTTGACTATGATAGTAAAAAGGACTTGATGTAGGTGGGGCTGTCCAAAGACTTGCCTGTAATGCTGATGAAGAGGACGTTGTAGTTGGACCTGGCAGAGGAGCTTGACTGTGTTGAGAAGGAGCCTTAATTGGTTGAAGTATTACAGGCCTGTTTGTAAAAATTAGGAAAACCCCTATGTGATAAGGTAAAAAAAAGAAGTCTTATTGTAGTAAACAAGAGAATCAAAAATGGGCATGACTATGTAGAAGCTTCCAGGTAGACAGATATATGCTTATCTGGGAGCAGGGTGTTAAATAATAATGGAGTGGCAGTCTGGATCTGGTTCTGTGAGCAGTTCTGGAGTGGGTAAACTACAGGTCTGGTTGTAGAGTTGTCTTCAGGTATACTAGGAAGATGGGAAGGATCGCTTTGGTGTGAGAGACCTGGACAAGGAGTATAGGTGTCTATGTGTGACTGTAAAATTTTATAAACTTGTCATAAAGCTTTTCTAATATTTTTCTCTAAGATTTTATAGTTTTATCTTTTTTGTATAGGCTTTTTGATCCATTTTGAGTTAATTTTTTGTGTATGATGTTAGGTAAGGGTCCAACTTCATGTTTTTAAGTGTAGATGTCTATTTTTCACAGCATAATTTGTTGAAAAGTTTGCCTTTCTTCTATTTAATAATCTTGACACCCTTGCTGAAAATCATTTGACCATATTTGTAGGCATTTATTTCTAAGCAATCTATTGTATTCCAATGGTTAATATGTTTGTCTTTATGTCAGTACCACACATTTTTATTGAACTACTTTATTGAGACATGATTAACCAAAAGCTGTATATTTAATATATACAACTTGATGACTTTGGAAATAAGTACACACCCATGGAACCACAGCAATTTATGCCATAAATATATTCATCACTGTCCAAAATTTCTGTCTGCCCTCATTGTCATTTTCTTTTGCATATGTGTGCATGAAAGAAAATATAACACAAAATCTACTCTTTTTACAAATACAATATTGTCAACAATAGGCACACTATTCAGCTCTAAGAAACAACGGTGATATAGCACATCTTATATTTTCCTGGTTAGAGCTGGAAGCCATACTATTAAGTGAAGTTTCCCAAGAATGGAAAAACAAGCACCAGATATATTCTCCAGCAAACTGGTATTAACTGAGCAGCACCTAAGTGGACACATAGGTACTACAGTAATAGAGTATTGGGCAGGTGGGACGGGGGAGAGGGGTGGGTATATACATATATAATGAGTGAGATGTGCACCATCTGGGGGATGGTCATGCTGGAGACTCAGACTTGTGGGGGGAGGGGGGGAATGGGCATTTATTGAAACCTTAAAATCTGTACCCCCATAATATGCCAAAATAAAAAAATAAATAAATAAAAAATAAAAAACAATAGGCACAATGATGAGTAGTTGATCTCTAGGACTTACTCTTCTTGCATAACTGAAACTTTGTACCCTTTGACAAATAACTCCCATTTATTTCTCTCCCCAGCCCTTGGCAACCACTCTTTTACACTCTGCTTCTATAAATTTGACTATTTTAGATTCCTTATCTAAATGGTGTCATAAGTATTTGTTCATATGTGTTTGGCTTATTTCACTTAGCATAATGTCCTCTAAATTCATTCATGTTGTTACAAATGGCAGTATTTCTTTCTTTTTAAAGGCTGAGTAATATTCCATTATATGTGTGACAATGTTTTCTCCTACCTTTATTGAGATATAATTGACAAATAAAATCGTATATACCTATGGTGTACACCATGATTTTTTGATATACATTGTAAAATGATTATCATAGTCAAGCTAATTAACATATACTTCACTTGGCATAGTTATCTTTTTTTGTCATGAGAATATTTAAGATCTACTGTCTCAACAAATTTTAAATATACAATTCAGTATTATTAATGATAGTCACCATGCTACACATTATATATCCAGAATTTATCCATCCTTCCTAACTGAAATTTTGTACCCTTTGACCAACATCTCCCCATTTCTGTACCTTCTTCCCCTAGAAACCACCATTTTACTCTCTGCTTCTTTGAGTTTGACATTTTAAGATTCCACATGAGATCTTGAAGTTTTTGTCTTTATGTACCTGAACTATTTCACTTAGCATAAAGTTCTCTGGTTTCACCCATGTTGTGAAAATGGCAGGATTTTTTTCTTTTTAAGGTGAATAATATGTTATTGTATATATATATACAGTCATGTATCACTTAATGACAGAAATACATTCTAAAAAATGTGCCCCAAAGACTATTACTTTTGTGCAAACATCATAGAATGTACTTACACAAACCTGGATGGTATAGCCTACTACATGCCTAGGCTTTATGGTATAGCCCATTGCACCTAGACTACAAACCTTTACAGCATATTACTGTATTAAATACCATAGGCAATTGTAACATAATGATAACTATTTGTCTATCTAAACATATCTAAAAATAGAAAAGGTACAGTGAAAATATGGTATTATAATCTTATGAGACGACCGTCATATACAATCTATCATTGATGAAAATACTATGCAGCACATAACTGTTTATAACCATATTTGCTTCATACATTTATCTGTCAATGGACACTTATGTTGATTTGTATATTAGGTATTGTGAATAATGCTGCAATCAACATGGGTGTGCATATATCTCTTAATTACGTCAGTACCAGCGTTGACTATAGTTGATAGCCACAGATGAACATGCACAGCCCAGCATCGACTATAGTCAATAGCCACAGATGAACACGCACAGCGAGTTTAGCCAACAGCCATGATATGAAGGTGCACAACCGAGCATCAACTTTAGCCGACAGCCGTGATATGACTTTTCTGATTTTTCATTTATCAAAATAAAATTGTGAACATTTGAAAGTAATGTAATGAAAACATATATGTTATCTATTCTGATTTACATTACAAGTAAAGCTGCCTGTAAAGTAAAACAAGCTTTCAGTGCTTTAAAGCTTTCCTCATCACACAAGAGCAAAACGGATTCGTCATCAATGCACAGTACAAACTATCATGCGGGCTATGAGTGCCGGCTGTGGGCAAGGTTTCTCGGCTGGTAAGCATGGTACCAAAGTGGTTAAAGATAGTGATTTCATTTCCTTTGGCTATATACCCAGAATCAGGATTGCTGGATCAAATGGCAATTTTAAATTTTAAATTTTCTTATTTTTTTCTAAACTAAATTTTATTTTAAATTTTTTCAAGGGACCTCCATGCTGTTTTCAATAATGGCTGCACCAATTTACATTCCCACCAACAGTGTACAGTGTTCCCTGTTCACCACATCCTTAATAACACTTATCTTTCCTTTTTTGATAATAGCCATCCTAAAAGATATGAGGTGATATGTCAGTGTGGTTTTCCTTTACATTTCCCTGATTATTAGTGATGTTGAACATATTTTCATATACTTCTTGGCCATTTCTATGTCTTTCTTGGAGAGACATTTATTCAGTTCTTTTGCCCACTTTTAAATCTGGTTATTGGTTTTGTTTTTGTCTTGGTTATTAACCCTTTATCAGACATATGGTTTCCAAATATTTTCTCCCATTCTGTAGGTTACCTTTTCATTTTGTTGATTGTTCCCTTTGCTGTGTAGGAGCTTTTTAGTTTGATGTAATCCCTCTTTTTATGTAATCTCTCTTTTTACTTTTGTTGTCCATGCTTTGGGGTTAAATCAAGAGAGTCTTTGCTCAGACCAATGTCAAGAAGGATTTTTATGGTTTTGGGTCTTATGTTTAGATATTTATTTTGAGATAAATTTTGCATATGGTATAAGTGTCCAGTTTCATTCTTTTGCATGTGGATATCCTGTTTCTTAGCACCCTGTATTGAAGGGATTATCCTTTTTTTCCATTGTATATTCTAAGCACCCTTGTCAAAGATCAGTAGACAGTATATGTGTGGATCTATTTATAGGTTCTCTATTTTCTTCCACTGGATGATGTGTCTATTTTGGTGCAGGTACTGTGCTGTTTTGATTAGTTTAACTTTGCCATGGATTTTGAGATTAGAAAATGTTTTGCCTCCAGCTTTGCTCTTTTTGTTCAAAATTGTTTTGATTATTTAGAATCCTTTTTGGTTCCATATGAATTTTAGGAGTTTTTTCTATATCTTTTTTTCCAGTTTGATTCCATTTATTGAAAGAGTAACAAATTGTTGAATATTAGACTAGGAAAAAAGAATCGTAGAGATTTGTGTGTGTGTGTGTGTGTGTGTGCACATGTGCTTCCATCTTGCTTTCTATTTTATTTTTTAAGGGGGCATAAATGTTTTTATTACATGGATATCTTGTATAATAATGCTTAAGTCAGAGCTTTTAGTGTGCCCACCACCAGAATAGAGTTCACTGTACCCAACAGGTAAGTTTTTGTTATCCCACACCCATCTTCCTCCCTTCTTGGTTTCTCATGTCCTTTATATCACCTTGTGTCCATG